CTCACAGCCACCCAGACCTGACTCCCTGACTCACAGCCACCCAGACCTGACTCCCTGACTCACAGCCACTCAGACCTGACTCCCTGACTCACAGCCACCCAGACCTGACTCCCTGACTCACAGCCACTCAGACCTGACTCCCTGACTCACAGCCAAAATGCACATGAAATAAGTAAATGAATGGTGACTAATTAAATTAAATGATCTCTCTCTTTACAAACGTATTGGTGTGCGTTAACTTATTAACCTGTTTTTAAACTATACATTGCATTTATGAGATATTTTTTTTAAATGAATACTGCAAAAAATAATTTATGTGGCCTTGCAGATCCGCAATACAGCCACGGGCCAATGCCTTGACACGGGGGGCAAGTCAACGGGGGCCGTGATCCAGCACCCTTGTCACGGGGGGAGTACACAGGTACGGGGAGTACACGGGGAGATCCAACACCCTTGTCACGGGAGCAGTACACAGGTACGGGGAGCACACGGGTACGGGGAGTACACGGGGAGATCCAACACCCTTGTCACGGGGGGAGTACACAGGTACGGGGAGCACACGGGTACGGGGAGTACACGGGAGGATCCAGCACCCTTGTCACGGGGGCAGTACACAGGTATGTGGAGTACACGGGGGGTGATCCAGCACCCTTGTCACGGGGGCAGTACACAGGTACGGGGAGTACACGGGAGGATCCAGCACCCTTGTCACGGGGGCAGTACACAGGTATGTGGAGTACACGGGGGGTGATCCAGCACCCGTGTCACGGGGTCAGTACACAGGTACGGGGAGTACACGGGGGTGATCCAGCACCCTTGTCACGGGGAGGGCGGGGGGATGACACAATTCACTAAATTCCGTTTTCATCGCGTCATTCATTTGTATGTTTTCATGTTATTTATTCAGTTATTTGTGTGTTAAGCAATATTTTCAGCTCATTATATTAACATTTGTTCATTATTCATGTATTCACGTGTTAATCAATGTTTTTATTTTATCATATTATTATTATTTTCTTATTCTTTTATTTGCATGTTGAGCATTTATTTATTTTATTAAATCAATAATTATTCACATAATTGCAATTTAATTATACTAAAATCAATTTGAATACTTTCAGGCAATTATATTAAAATTAATATGAATAATTTTAGGTAATTATATTAAAATTATATGAATAATTTCAGTTAATTACATTATCAATTATTAATTATGCAGCAATTCTTCTGGTGCTGGCGGGAGTTCATCCGCACCCCCAACGAGCAGTTCTGCCTGGAGGCCCCCCAGGGGGGCGGCGCCCCCTTCCTCTACAACTGCAACAACAACGACGCCCCTGCCAAGATGCGCTGGACATATGACCCTGTTAGTTGTCTGAGTGTCTGGGGGAGTGGCGTGACCCCGTTAGTTGTCTGAGTGTGTGGGGGAGTGGCGTGACCCCGTTAGTTGTCTGAGTGGCTGGGGGAGTGGCGTGACCCCGTTAGTTGTCTGAGTGTCTGGGGGAGTGGCGTGACCCCGTGAGTTGTCTCAGTGTCTGGGGGAGTGGCGTGACCCCGTTAGTTGTCTGAGTGGCTGGGGGAGTGGCGTGACCCCGTTAGTTGTCTGAGTGGCTGGGTCAGTGGTGTGACCCCGTGAGTTGTTTGATTGTCTGGGGGAGTGTCTGGGGGAGTGGTGTGATCCTTACGACCTTACCTTATGACCTTATGATGATTTTAGGACGTCGCAATCCACGGTCACGCTGATGCGCCGCCTTCGTCGTCCTCCGTCTCCGAGTCGTCGTCGGATGTAACGTTGGACGTGTTCCGTCTATTTGCCCTCATTTGGGCCAGCTGATGCAAGATGCTGTTGCTTGTCACTTGCTGAGGATAGTTTCCCATTACTGGACAGTCTGGGATCTTGCTCAACCACTTGTCCAGTCGTCTCTTGAATGTTGCAAGGGTGAACTCCCCTCCTCTCAGCGCTTTTGGCAAGGCATTAAAGAGCCTCGGTCCTACCACGGACAGTGATCCCTCACGAAGAGTCCGTACTCTGGCC